GCTTCGCGGCACGTGTTCATTTGCCCCGGTTTTGCCAAATTACCGTTATTCGACAAATTTTGCCCAATATTGTATACATAGTATGTATAATTGGGCACCAAGTGAATACCAAAGAACTTCCAACCTACAAAAACATTAAGAATGATCAATTTGTAAAAATGGCCAACTCATGTTTAAAGGTAATCCGTTACATTTTTTAAATGTTAATAAAAAAAGTAATTTTGAAAATAATAAAGCTGAAAATCTCAACGTAGATGTATTTTACATTTTTAGTATTTGACTTGAGTTTAATTGCAAAACGATATATAATGTTTTCGAGTCTACGGATGGCACATAAATTAAAGAATGAAGCGTAACAAGTACAATTTTACAACAAATATTAGTAATAATGTTATCCCGTCTTATTGGAGATTACTTTCCTTATGAGTTGTATGTTGTGCCTCAGACTAACGATTGCCTCAGATCTGACGCACCTCAGATGCAGATCTTCAGGTGAGGGCGTTACCTATCGATCGGTCAATAAGCATTGAAAAAAAAATTATATGTAAAGAAATTATTGGAAATTGAACGTGCTGAAAAACATAGACGGGAAGAATATGCCGCGAAATTTAGGCAAAAAAAAAAAAAACTATATGTATAGAGAAAAAAAAGTACGTATTAATTGGAAATAGAATGTGCCGTGAAAATTCAGTCAAAGAAATTCAAAGAAAAGAACGGAGGTATTAAAGAGACTTAATGTAAAAGAATGCTACTGTTGGTGGTAAAATATCAGAGATTCAAAGAATGCTATTGGAGGTAAAACGACGCCAAAGTGATGCAAAAATATAGAATGCTACTGGAGTTAAAAAGACGCCAAAGTGATTTAAAAAAAATGCTACCAGCGAGAAAAACGCCGAAGAAATTTCAAGTAAATACTCTTATCATCTAAGCTGCAATCTAACGAAAATAATCGATAGGCTACGCACCTCACCTGACGATCTGCATCTGAGGTACGTCAGCTGTGATCTGAGGCAAGCGTATATATTAACTATTAATATAAACTTATAAAAATATGCTATTTATTATTCTCCACACGGAAATTCTGCACTCTATCCATATCAAGCACCTCAAGGAATATCTGCATCTTATCATCTCAAAGCACAAGGAATGTTTGCACTATGCTATTTAGAGTTAACGCATTCTATTTATTCATAGATTAACAGTTAATTTTTTGTTATAATTTGTTATATATTATTGTATTAACACTACCATTTTAAAGCTTAAAACCAGTAAAAACTAACAAGGTTTCAACTTTATAAAACTCTTTATTGCTAATGTTAATTGTTTTTTAATCCGCCGCAATTTGATTGAATATAAGTATATGACCAGTGGTCATTCACTTAAAGGTTTATGGGTTCTATAGAATAAGTGGGCAAACTCCGCAAACTCCGCTATTAAAAAATTAATGATTACTAATCATTAGCAAAGCTTATTTCTTATATTGCCCACCTATTCTATAGAATATCCCAATTGATAAAAAAAACTTGGTGAAATGAGCCGTCGGTGAAATAAAATGTCCGTGAAATATGTAATAGATATTTTCACGGCATTACGTCATCATCAAAATATCATCAGAAATGTTCATGGGCAAACATTAAGGGTCGTGGAATATAAGGAATTAATCTTCGGTGAACTAACGCTAAGTTGTCGGTAAATAATGCGAATCCCGTCATAACGATAATATCTTATAAATCAAAATTACTAGTAGAACTTGACAGAAAATCAAAGAAAGTTTAGTAACCAACTAAAGACTCGACCAAAAAAACTTAAGCAAGAAAGTACTCTGTTGAGGTATATGATTGGTCAAAATTTATTAACACACCAATTCATAATATTAAGGATAAGCCAAAAAAACAAAAAAAAACTTTTTCCAAGTTATTAATAACCTAAATTCAATTCAGTTTACATTCTTTTTATATCTTTACAAAGATTCCTTTCATTTCTTTTACATCATGAAAGAACAACAAATTAATAAAAGTATGAAGGCTTTGGCTTAGCAACGGGAAGTGTTTCGTACAACTTTTCATTTCTTTAGTTACTAACTTTGCGCTTTACTTTTCCTTTGTGAATTCGAAGCATCTTTAGAAATTCACTTTTAACATTAAATTTTCACGTTCCCAACATAACCTTTCATAAAACTCTATCATTTTTGGTAAATTACTTTCACTTTATTCGTTATTCATACACGCGACTGAGTTTCCATTACTTCGAGTTAATTGCTCCGGACCCAAAGAAACACAAAACAAGGCCCATGATCATACATATTATACATATTATGCTTTAATATGGCTACCCCAGTAGTTCGGTGGGATTATTATTATGAAGATTTTTGAAGTAATAAGAATAGTATGTTAGGATTAGTTATTATCGCGACAAAAATTGGTTTATACCAAACTTTTGCAATTGTTTTTTTTTCTATGGCGCAGAACGCGTAAACGAGCTTTAAGGCATTTCGGATGTTCTATAGAATAAGTTGGCAAACTCCGCAAACTCCACAACTCCGCTATTAAAAAATTAATGATTACTAATCATTAGCAAAGCTTATTTCTTATATTGCCCACCTTAAGAAAAAGTTTTAAATTCCGATTAGGAGGATCACAGACCGACCGACACTTTTTTTTGCGGCAAGATTATTTTATAGACGATCAATTCATAGGCAAGTTTGTTTCATAGACAGTTCATTTTACCAACAGCTCATTTATAACACCGGCAACTCATTTCACATACAAGTTGTTTTTTTCATAACTTGCAAATAACCTTTAATTACTTTTTCGATAAAATTAAATAAACTGAGTTATCGGTGACTATGAAATGAACTTTGTAAATTAGTCATATATAAAATAAACATGTCTGTCTATGATTGTCTACGAAGTGGACGGAACTGATATAGAATATAGGGTATATCACATATGTAGCATAGAGACAATTTATTAAGTTTGCATGGCCTAAAAAAAAAAAAAAAAAAAAAAAAAAATTTTGAGAACTTCAAATATTATGAATCTAACATAAGTGTAATTTATTACATAATTCACTTGACAAATATCGGTATATTTTAAACCCTTTTATCACATATCGATATCGTCAAAACGTACGTACGTAAGTACTGTACGTACCAAGCATAATTAATCCGTTGACTATATTGACCAAAAAGAATTAAAAATGTATTGTAGCCATTGAACATTGAATACATTGAATTTTGAAAAATATGCATAGCTAATATTGCTTTATGTTGAAAAGTTTTTCTATCAAAAAAGTGAATAATTAAAAAGAAAATTCTAACCTATAATAACAATGTATATCGCCACCACATTAACCACTTGTAATAACTGATTTTTAATGTTGTGAACAAAAAATTTTTAAAAAAAACAAATTTTAATTTTAGGAAAAAAAAAAAAGAAATAATAATAATAAAATAAATTAAAATAAATAATAAAGAATTTGTGCATAATCTTCGAAAAATAAATAAATCAAGGTGTGTAACTAACAGCCGGTTTATTAAGAATAGATTGGATCATATACTTTACCCTTTCGCGAATCTTTGGCGTTACTTCGAAATTTGCATGCATGATATTCAAAAGTTTTAGAGGTTTCTTTAATGATTGAATAATAGTCTCCAAATGTTCTTCAGAAAAACATTCACAATGTTCAAAACTCAAAGATTCCAATGGTGCTTGACAGGTGTGAAGAAAGCTTTCAAGCGATGTAGAAGTAAAAGACCACTTCATGTTTATTTTAAAATTTAC